ATTACGGTTCCAGAGACCTACAGGTCTAAGAGACAAGACATTCAAAGCCCAAACTGTAAACTTGGAGTCTTTTAATCATTCACAGAAACAGAGTTCTTAGGGAAGTTCTTCTTTAGAAGGTGATCTACTCCCACAGTCCCCACAGGTCACTGGGGTTTGGGACCTGAAGCACACTGCAGTTGATTTTAATTGCCACGATGATGCATAGGGAGAGATGTGATATCTGGGGTAACTGGCTTCTAAACAATGAGGGGCTTTAAAGATTAGAGTCAACACTTTAAATTGCACTCACGACTGAATAGGAAGCTAGTGCTGACCATAGACTGCAGGTGTAATATTCTCCATATGTTTTGAAACTTGTAGCTGCAAGAGATCAAGCCCTCTGCATCACACGCAATAAAAACTCAAGGACAGTGTGTGTAACATTGTATTTTGAAGGTTACAAGCACAAGGATCCTGATGTCAAATAACACAAACATATTGTGGCAAGTGTTCTTAGATGTAAAATGCCAGTCAGAGAAATCGGGGAATATCTGTGAGGCCTGCTTAGCCAAAGGCAAGCAGATCGTTGGAGCTAAATGTACTTTGAATACCTGAAATGCTGGCCTAGAATTGGATTGGTCCATAGCTCCTGATGTTACCTGATAACAGTAAGAACACTGGATGCATCAAGAGCTGGCTAGACCCATTATTTCAGGTATGAGAAATAATGCTTAGGCGGCATACCTAAATTAGAGTTCACTGAACACTACGAGATTGAGGTAGAAAATCTTAAAATAAAATAACTTGTTCAGTGATCACAGTATCCTAAAGAAAGAGCACATCCCTACAAGTAGACAGTCCCTGGTGAAGTAATATTGATGCAAAAATCAAACAAGCCAAAAGTAACCCTGCCGATGTGAAAGAAAATTTGCCATATAGTCTAGTTTTGTTTGAGCCACTGACATATGGGAAAATTTATGTAGTAAAGTTTATGCTTATAAAGTTTCAACTTATATTTAGTTGGGGAAACAATTTATTATACCAAAAAAAAAAAAAAAGCATAAATGTATGACAGATGGCAATGCTTTTTTTTCTAATCTTGGCAGGGTCCCTTTTTAGCTGAACCGGCTCTCACTCCTTAAAATTATGAACATTGTCATTCACACCTATTTTCTGAAATTAAACAGGCCAATTCTATGATGAAACATCCTATAAATTTGGTTCCTGTATAATGTCTTCCCACTTTTGTCATAAATTACCTGGAGTGCCACTTTCCTTGGAATAATGAAATAGACCCAAAGTAGGCAAGAGGCATAAAACTTTCATTTCAAATTCTCTAAATCAGTTTTTAAAAATTTTCTACATAAAAAAAAAATCTTCTGTGAAATCTTTCATTCTGTTAGGACTTTTACAAAGGAAAGTGTCAAAGATTACCTTGCAAGTACATTCTTCGCGTCCTGAAATCTTTATTTTTGACGTTGAAACAATGTACCCTTCCTTTAAATCATTTGCTAAGTTATAATTTATGTTCATAGATGTCTTAGTGACATGGTTCATTTTCTGAAAAATGAGCAAAAATTTCCATAGGTGTATCTGACTGTAAGCAGACTAATTTATTGTATTACTTTAATAGGCAAACCACTTCTTTAAAAGGAAGTTTATTAACTTGATATTCTTTATCAAGTGAAAGAATGTACTGTATATGCAGGTGGAGGGCAAGGTGAAGCCTGCAAGTGGATGGGTAATGACTAAATGCATTCTCCCTCCCTTCTGGAGCCTAACCTCAGAGCAAAGATTAGATTGTAGCCAAGGGTTACATCCACCCTACTTGAAAGTAACAAGGTTGTTTTCTCAGACAATTGTGGGAAGGCTGGCTACCCTCAGGTTTATCAAAAGCGGACTCTCAAATGAAAGTTATCAAAAACGTTAGAGTACCAAACTCTAGTATTTCAGCAGCTTAAGAAAATAAAAGTCTATTTTTCATGCACTTAATAGTCCCAAACAGTGTCTTTGGCAGAGAAGATCAGGGATAAAGGAGACTTTGGAACCTCCTTGCCACAGCATTCAGAAATTCAAGGCTTTTATTGTCACCCCAATATCCAGGCAGATCAGGAAGCGCATGAATGATGCTTGGGAGATACTTTTAAGGGCCAGGCTTGGATGTGGTGATTTATCACTCTGCTCATGTCCCATGCCGAGAACTCAGTCACAAGTTTCCATCTAAGGATAAAAAAGGCTGAAAAATGTCTGATTCTCATAGTAGGAGGAAAGAAAATGAAATGTTTGGTGAGCCGTTAGTTACTTTTTTCCACAATATCTGTCACAGAAGTTTTATTGCTGCAAAAATTGGGGCTAGACAGCTGTCACTTATAAGACAAAGCTAGTGACATTTTCTCAGGAATGTTAAAAAACACTTCATTTTACTTTTTTCTCCTTATTCCATTTTCCCCTTCATTTCTCTTTTTTTTTTTTTTTACTTTTTTTAATGTTTTATTTATTTCTGAGAGCGAGAGAGAGAGCGAGTGTGAGCAGGGGAGGGTCAGAGAGAGAGGGAGACACAGAATCTGAAGCAGGCTCCAGGCTCCGAGCTAGCTGTCAGCACAGAGTCGTACGCGCGGCTTGAACCTACAAACCGTGAGATCATAACCAGAGCCGAAGTCAGACGCTTAACCGACTGAGCCGCCCAGGTGCCCCTTCATTTCTTTCTTATTCTTATCTGCAACCTATTTTATTAATCATCTGCAAGTGATTTGGCTGAACTGATTGTCCATAATGTTTTATTTTGAAATCTGTATTCATATTCAAGAAGAAAGAAAATTAGTAACATAGCATGACATGCATAAACATGAGTTAATTTTTTTAATAAAATCTAACTGGAGGGCCAACAAACTTTTTACTGCTTTTCTAATAAAAACACAAGACTCTTTTCCCAAACACTTTAAAGCTATGGGAAGAATTATGATCAAATGAAGAATGATGTAATAAATGATTACTTTTTTTTGCCTCTAAGCAATCCATCTTTATATTCAAGCTCCAATCCAAAGACAGTTTTCATGTTATAAAGAAAATTTTAATGAAGGACAAAATTTTGGAAAAATTTCTATGATAATATATCAGTGGCAGCCTAGGTAGTTGCCATAGAAACCCTGAGGAAAATCTCTTTCTGGCACAGAAAGATTCCTCTGGATTCACTGTGCATCAGACATTTAATTCTCATGACAAGAAGAGAGGGCTTCTAGATAGGACTTGTGACTAGGCTGCATGGATCTAGTCCCTCTCACAAGGGAAATACACATTTGGCAACAAGAAAGGAAAGGTTGACAGTTTTTGTAAATTTCCTGTGAAAAGACTGTTTCTAGAAATGGTGCTTCCTCTTTAGTATCTGTATTAAAGAATTGGGTGGGAGGAAAAACTTTCCCCAGGTAGGTCCACATTATGAATAGGACTTGAGAAGCAGCAGTATTTTTTTAGATATTTCTAATGTTTACTTTTGAGAGCCAGAAAGACAGAGTGTGAGTGGAGGAGGGGCAGAGAAAGAAGGAAACACAGAATCCAGGCTCCAAGCTGTCAGCACAGAGCCTGATGTGGGGCTTGAACTCACGGACTGAGAGATCATGACCTGAGCTGAAATCAGACGCTTAACCAACGGAGCCACTCAGGTGTCCCAAGCAGCAGCATTTTTAAACCTGCTCCCCACCCCACCCCAAACTGAAGTAAGATAGTAGGGGCCAGATATCATGAGGGTCCCCGCACACATTTCTTCAAAGAAAGCAATAAAAAGAGTTAGAACATCTTCACCTGTAGGAGGTCAGCTGACAGGTTGTGCTGAATGGAATTAAGCTGCAGGCTCGTGATGAAATTAAGCATCACCTTAGCCATCCCTGGTCCATTAGGATAATAGAAGCATCTCACCTGCAGGCAAGTGCAGGGTTTGGGAGGAATAGTTAAGCATTGCATTTTATAGGTACTAAAAACAAAACACCTCTGGTTGAATTCTACCCCCCGTCTGCCCTTAAATTAGTCTTACTGCAATAAAAAAATAAATAAAAGTAATAAGTCTAGTCCCCCTCCCCCCAAAAAAGGGGTATCTCTCATTTTGGCAGTCCTAAAACAGGTGTTGTAGAGGTTACTTAAGCAGGATGGATCTGAGATTCAGGGAATCGGGCTTCTAACTCTGGTGCCATCAGTCATACACTGTGGGACTTGGAATAAGGCTGTTGTAAGAATTAAAGGAGACAACTATGTACAAGGTATAGCCAGTGACCATGAGACAGGAGTGGTTGTTATTACCATTATTATTATTACTCTCGTTAGTATTTGGGGGACTCTGATCTTTTAGGTAGTGGTGAGTGTGGAGTTGTGGGGGAGGGGGAGATTCTACTTCCCAGTGGAGGACAATTTGAAAGAACTGGGGCTGATTAGGCAGAGAAGACGATTTAGAAAGACGTTAATCCTGACTGCACTTATATAAAGGGTTGCTTTTATAAGCGATCCGACTGGGGAGACGACCCAAGACCCAAACAGAGGATGGAGGTCCGGGAGATAAATTTGGCTTCACATAGGAAACATTTGGGGCAGGTTAGAATCGAGGAGAAAACGGCATGGAATGCCTCTTGAGGGAGGCAGTTCTCCGTTTTACGTTAACCAGGATGGAAGAAATTTTGGTGTTGAAGTCGTGGACAGGATTCCAGGGATTTTGAGTTTCTAGACAAAACCTCGGACTACAGAGGCTCCAAGAAGCAGCAGAGTGAAGGCAAAGCGAGTAAAAGGAAGCCAGACAACCTCGAGGCCAGCCTCGTCCTGAGCCTCCCCATCTCGCACAGTTTTCCCCCTGGAAAATCTAAAATGTAACCTGGGAGTCCAGCCTCGGCCTCAGAGTTGCCTCCAGCTGGGAAGCCCCGTTGCTATGGCGACGGGAGCGGTTGGCCCGAGGATTCAGAGCAGGTTTGGGGGAGGGGAACCGCATTGGTTCAGGGATGAGGCGTGGCTTCGGTTACCATGGCAGCGGGGACGCTTAGTCTGGGCCTGAGACCAGTTTAGAAGCCGATGCACCTCCCGTCCTTTGCATGGCACCCAAGAAAGAGAAAGGCGGGACTCTGAACGCCAGTTCGAAGATATGGGAACCCTCGCTCATCGCTGCACACTTCAATCAGGTGAGCCCAGAGCCCTGAAAGTCCTCTCGGACCCCGGCAATGCCAAAGCCCCACCAGACCCTCCGGGCAAGGCAGCCAGGCTCGCCGGCTTTTCCATACGCCACCGCCGCTTAATTCCGCTCTCCTAGGCCTGGGGGTTCCGCACACTAAACGCCCCACACAGAGTGGGGGTTACGCGAACAAGGAAGGGGGCACCGGGTGAATCAGTGCGATTTCAAAGGGTGGAGAAACCTGTGTGAGGGGGGAGGGAGGTGGTGTAGCTCTGGCACCTCGAGATCCTTTGCAGCGAAGTCGCCTAGATGGCACTCCAAAATGACACTGGAGTTGTCTTTATGAACGGTTTGCTTTCTGCTGACATCTGAAGGAAGCATCCGGTCAAATCATCCTAGCCGGGCCTGTAGTCAGTAAGGCTTACTAAATGCTGTAGGAAGAGAGACCTGGAGTAGTAAAGATACCGACGTATTTAATACAAATGAACCTTCTGCAGAGAGGAAAAGACGAGATTCCTCTGCAATGCCCTGATACCACAACACCAAAGTTGTAATATAATTTGAAGGTATTGTAAGAGACAGAGTACTGAGGGGCTGGGTGCTAGACTCACCCATAGGGTAGCAAAAAGGCGCCAGGCAATCTATAACCCACTGGCCACATGACAAATTGCACCACATCCCAACCAGACTAGCTCCCCACCCCACTCTTTCCCACCAGCATTTAGTTGGTTGGGGAGCCCAATAGCGCTTGTCACCTGCTCCTGGGAATACACTGCTACACTTAGTTGCTTCTAAGTCCAAGAGGACATTTGGATGGAGAAAGGTTGATTCTGGGACTTCTGGGCTGCCATTCATTCCAAAGTACTTTAAAAACTGGAAAAACACTTTTTTCCATTTTCTATGTGTACATACAGTGCACTAGAGAATCAACACTTAAAGGAAAAACACATCCAAAATCTTATGATGCCCTCGTGAGAAATTCGTACTTCTGCGTCCTTATTTTCTACTGTAATTGGTTTTTTTTCCCCTAAGAACGGTAATTCTGTCTGATGAGTAATTCTACCTAATGAAGAATTTCATGAAAGTGGCTAAGAGGCTGCTGATGACATGACATCATGGAATTTGACGTTATTTCTATAATGTTAAGAATGAAGGATGTCGGCTCCGTAATTCTCAGTTACATTCTCAAATTCTCAAAGATGTTTTTCAAAATACTCTGTAAAAGCACCCTCTCTTTTGCTTTTATAAGTCAGCACTGGCCAAAATAACTTTTTCTCCACTTTCTTTGAGATTGTGTAGGCCAAGTTTGGGCTTGGAGTGAAGCTTTCTGCTTGAATTATAAACTGCTGAACAACAGAATTTGATGGAGGTGCTGACACTGCATTAGCTTTAGTGTTGCAAATATGAAGCTATAATTTTCCTAGTTGAATGGAAAACCTACAGACAGTATTTTTCCTTATGGCTTGAAAACCTGAAATAATACTCAGCCTTCTCAGTTCTGCTCAAACAGTATAATTTCAATAAATCTTATATATTAAAAGAAAGAATTTGAACCCAAAGTAATGTGTAGTTTTAACAACAAAGGCTGAACTTCTTCAGTTTGGTGGAATACATGTATTTTAAGGGCAGAGGAAGACAATTCCCCTTTACCTCCTCTCCTATTTTTTTTTCTCAGTTTGATTTCATGTCTGCTCCAAGAGGAAAGTTCTGGATTAATTAACCCAGCAGTCCAGTGCTCAGAGGCGTGACTTAACCACCAATGTAATAGATTCTGGATTGAGGTTAAAGAGGACTTATAGAGGTGTTATCCCTGACTCCTAGGGTTTAGCAAAGTGCTTTGCACATAGTAGGTGCTCAAAAAATGCTTTACCTTAGCACCCAAAGTTTCTTTCTGTACAGTTGCTATGCAGGGAAATATTGTGTGCCAGTATGTATAGTTGAGTGCGTGTGTGTCCTTCTCAGTGTTCCATAAGCCAGTTTAGAATTAACTAATTAAAGAATCGACACGAGTAATGATTTTGAACTTCCATACACATGGAGCTACACTACACTTTAATGAGAATCAGTAAGTTCACAATCTGGTTTCAGTGAATTTACCTCGTATCAGTATTTTGGGCTGTCCTTTCAGGCTGGAATAATTGCTAATTTTTTAGTATGTTTTAGTTGGTCCTAAAACACAAAAGGATAGCAAATGATACAAGGTAGTCTGTTACTAAGCACTGAATGATTAGGTAAAGAGTAGACTAAGCACTAAATGACTAACTAGAAGTTAGGAAGATGAATGTGGGCTGGGATGGTCAGGAAATGTTTTATCAAATTACTTGGCTTTAACTAGGCCCTAAAGAATGGGTAGACTTTGAGCTGGTAGAATGAAGGAGGGTGATTATTTTATGTAGGGTGACCAATATATGCATTAAATAAATCTGGGACATTTAAATTCAGAGAGAAATGTGGATTAGACTGTTTTGGCATACATTGCTCCTAAACTAATCCCACCAATCAAAACGTCATTTACTAACTTTGCTATCCAGGTATTGAAACATTTATCTTATTAATATAAGATATAATTATAAGTATAATATAATAGATATATATTATTAATATGTATAATTATTAATATAATTAAGATATAATTATTAATATAAAATATTTAGGCATGTTGGCAATAAGATTATAAAGATTATAAAAATACATCTTAGTGTGGGCTTGTATGTGGCATAGACCTTATGATCTCCAGCAGCATTAGGGAGTTAAAGATGCTTTTAAAGATAAACTAGGGGCACCTGGGTGGCTCAGTCAGTTGAGCATCCGACTTCAGCTCAGGTCTTGATCTCACCGTTTGTGGGTTCAAGTCTTGCGTCGGGCTCTGTGCTGACAGCTAGCTCGGAACCTGGAAGCTGTTTCAGATTCTGTGCCTCCCTCTCTCTCTCTCTGACCCTCCCCTGCTCGCGCTCTCTCTCTCTCAGAAATAAAACATTAAAAAAAAGATGAACTAAAATCTTAACACAACTGTCAAGGCAGCCCCTACTGGCCACAGTGAGAGGGAAAGGTGTTAAGTTAAGCCCTCAAGGACCGAAGGTGCTATTTGGAAACCTTCTGGTCTAAGATATTTTTATTTGTACTTTTTTATCGTGGTAAAATATAATAACGAAATTTGCCATTTCCACCATTTTTAAGTGTACCGTTGGTGGTATTGAGTACATTCATGTTGTTGTTTAACCATCACCTCCATCCCTCTCCAGAACTCTTTCCCTGACTACACCCATGAAAGAATTCCCCATACCTCCCTCCCCCTAGCTCCTGGCAACCACCATTCTATTTTTTGTATCTGTAAATATAATGAAATATTTCATTGTAAATGTATTCATCCAGTGCTTGTCTTCCAGTGACCAGAAGCATAATGTCCTCAAGGTTCATTCATGTTGTAGCATGTATTAAAATTGCCCTGTTTCTAAGGCTGAATAGTATTCCATTGTATGTACAGAATACGTTTTATTTATCCATTCACCCATCGACAGGTACTTCTAACTCTTGGCATTGTGAATAATGCTGCTATTAATAGGAGTATACACACTTACAAAAAGAATATGAGTGTCCAAAAATCTGCTTGAGTCCCTACTTTCAATTTTTTTGAATTGGAAAATTCCCACTGGAAGTGGGAATTGCTGAATAGTATGGTAATTGTATGTTTAATTTTTTGATGAACCGCCATAACATTTTCCACAATGGCTATACCATTTTATATTCCCACCAGCAATGCACAAGGGTTCCAATTTCTCCACAGGGTCAGCAGTACTTTTAAAATTCTGGGGGTGGAGAGAGAGAGACAGAAAGAGAGAGAGAGATTCAGCCGTCCTGATGAATGTGAAGTAGTATTTTAGTGTAGTTTTAATTTGCATTTCCCTAATGATTAGTGATATCAAGCATCTTTTTTATGTACTTCTTGGCCATTTGTATATCTTCTTTTTCCCACATTTTTAATGGAGTCCTTGGGTTTTCTTTACTGTTGAATTATAGGACTAATTTATATTCTGGATATTAACCTTTTATGAGTTATATGATTTGCAAATACTTTCTTTTATTCCATAGGCTTCCTCTTCATTCTGTTGACAGTGTCCTTTGATGCACAGCATGTTTAATTTTGGTGATGTTCAATTTATCTGGTTTTTCTTGTGTTGTCTAGGCAAGAAAGCACTACCAAACCCAGTGTCATGATGCTTTTCCTGTGTTTTCCTCTAAAATTTTTATGGTTTTAGTCCTGCATTTAGATGCGTGGTTCATTTTGAGTTAATTTTTGTATATGGTGTGAAATATATGTATATATATATATTTTTTTGCATGTGGATATCCAGTTTTCCCAGAACCAATTATTGAAAAGGCTGTCCTTTCTCATGGAGAAAGGGTGGGGCAAGGGAGAGTATAAGAGCCAAAAAAAAAATGTCCTACCTTATTGAATGTGGCTTTTCCTTCACTGGGCATTGCTTGGTGCTTTAGGTCTTTGACTGGTTTCAGTGTTTCTATAAAGTTATTTCAGTCTGTCTCAAGTTGTTTTTCCTATGTTTCCAGAGGGCACAGAGGGCATGTAACTGCCTAGTCTGCCATTTTTTTTTTTAATGTCCCTGTGGTCTAAGAGGGCTTGTAATCAATTCTGATCTTCCCATTTCTTCCAAGCCTAGTGTAAGACACGTGACACTGAGAAAGCGGATATTATGTAGAAACTTTGTTGGTGACAATTTAGGAAGACTTTCCACAGTTGTCCAAACAATATAGCCATTCCCTCTAGGAGCTTACAGATTGCACAAGACCTGCCTTTGGGTAATGTCACATGGCTTCAAAATGAGTGGGCTCCGTGTTTCAATTGGAATTTCGTGTTATGGTCAGAGCTTTGGTATCAACATGGGTTAAAAGAACCTCACAATGTTTTCTTTGTTAAATGACAGTGTGATAACACTATAGAAAATATTCAAAATTCAGATGCAAATCCATTTTTATTTCTTTAAGATGTTATGA